TGGGAAGACAGGGGGCTTCTAATTGCATTTTCAGTGGTGCACCAGCAGGATACACACCACTGACAGACGGAAAGTTAGCTGCCTGCAGGGTTAGATCATTTCATAATAGGGCAGTTCCTCTTTCTAGGTTTAAGATGAGAGAGCTAAATGTGGAAGTAGGAAAGATTGTATGCGCATATAAATGAAAAGTGAATCACTGGCAGTTTATTGAAAACGGAAGGCTCCATTTAAGAGCTGCCACAAGTCAAAGTGGTCCAACAAGGAACTCACAGCTGCAGGTGACACGTAAGTCTTGGAAATCAGGTGGAGGCATTTGGTAACAGAAAAAGTTCCTAAATGACGTCCTGAAAGGCCACAAGGAAAAGAGCAATGAGTTGTGGAAATCAGAGACCATCAGGACTTAAAGCCAGATTTACCTGGAACAAAATAGAGTAGGACCATATAAGGAGACAGAAATAATGGCAATTTGATAGTAAATTCTGCTAGGTTCCAGTAAGCTATTTGGGATGTAAATTAAGATAATTGTACCATTTCCATTTACACTTCAAACCCTAAACAAATAACACACACACAGAACCCTGCAATTTCCAAATTAATGGACAGATTCTCAAGTTTCCCAGATGAGCTCCAGTTTTTACTTCTTAAGATCTAGCAGGTCACTTCTTTCCACCTAAAGCCTTAAATACTACATGCAAACACATCCCGAATTTATTATTTCCAGTCTTAACATTTTCTCTGAGCTGGTCTACTACTTAAGACTGCCAACTGTCAAATCTTACCTGGATATATAACGGCATCTCAAACTTAATACACGGTCTATTCCAAACCTGCTCCACCCAAGTCAACTCCATCTCAAGTAGCTAGTATCATTCCACCATCTCTACCTTTCAAATAAAAAAAACTTACACGCCTCACTTGAAGCGTTACTGTAGCTCACCTCAGGCCCACTCCCATCTCCAACCAATCACAAAGTCCTATCAGTTAGTTACCTGCCAAATCTGTCTGGAATTTTTCCTCTTCTCACTGTGTCCACTGCTACCATCCTAACTCCTGGCCACCATCATCACTCACCCCTACCGTTCTCCGTTTCTGCTCACCCCTGCCCCTCCCAGTCATGCTCCACCAAGGAGCCAGAATGATATTTTTCAAAGACAAGATCACTTTCCTGCTAAAAATCCTCTGATGGTCTTCAGCCATAGTTAACAACAAGCAATAGTACAAAGGTCACAGAACTGGGAGTTCTGGCTCTGGCTCTGCTACTAACTATAAATTTTAGCAAAATGAAGTGACCTCACCCTCCTGGGCCTTATTTGCAAAATGAAAGGGCTGTCTGTTTAACTTTAAAATTCTAATATTCTAAATCCAGTATACAATTTGATATACCTATCTCAGCTTATTCCATTTCTCCCTTTCAATAAATGGCTAATTTCATAAGTCCTGTATCTAAGGGCTCCCTCCCTTCCAGGGTCCATGCTCATGAACACTCACACAGGATGCCATGGTTCTCCTCTCATTTCCTTTGCTACCTTTAGGCAGAAAAGAAAAATACAAAGGGATCTCAACGTTTCACTTGGGCAGGTCCATCTACGATGTACAACTCTACAGCTGGGACTTATCCCCATGAGACCAGCAAGTACGGGCTGTGCCCTCAAATGGGTCATTTTAAGCTACTATACATCTTTCAGCTGACACAAAACTAAAACTAACACACCCACAGAAAACCGAACGCAGATTCTTGCAGGCCAGGCCTCTATGTAGTCAGAATACTGACCTTTTGATCATTTTTTCCTCCAGGATTTTAGGAAAGATTAAGTTTTAAATGTAAGAACGACTTATCCCTGCCCTGGCTGGTGTAGCTCAACTGACTGTGCATCGTCCATGCACCGAAAGGTTGTCAGTTCGATTCCCAGTCAGGGCACATGCCCAGGTTGCAGCCTCGACCCCCAGTACGGAGCATGCAGGAGGCAGCCAAGTGATGTTTCACTCTCACATCAATGTTTCTCTCTCCCTCTCCCTTCCCCTCTCTCTAAAAATCCATTTAAAACTCTAAAAAAAAAAAAAAAAAAAAGGATGGCTTATCCCAGAAAATAACATAATTTTTTAGGAAAACCAACTAAAATATACAAACCAAGTACTTCCCATGAAGTGAAAGGACAGAAAGTGTGGAAGGAGTCACACTTGTGTAGCTTGAGTATAGAGGTACACCTAAGAGACAAGATGACTTTCCCATTTCAGTTCATTTTCTAAAATACCGATTCAAGGAAGCAGTGGGGAAGAGAGAGCAGTGAAGTAAACCACAGAGCCCTCACATTCAGAAGACAGAAAGAAAACCTCTTCTGATTTGCCTTAGGACAAATTAAACAAATAAAGAAAAACCAATCAGCTACCACAGCCCCTCCTCACCACTCTACCAACAGCCAACTTCCTCTTCTGCCTCTCCTCCGTCCTTCTGCTCCAATGCTACAAATAGCCCAGGATACTGCTAATATTCTGGTTCTATATTCAGAGTTCACCTGCTTTGCATTTAACTCCTCGCTTTTTGTTCCCCATCTCTATGCTTTCCTTGGAGTTACCAGAATATTAAATTTAAGATTTTTAAATTCAATCTACAGTTTCTTAAAAGCATAAAAACATACCCATTTAACTGGGTGTGTGAAAAGAAAATTAATGCGAAGTATGTAAAATGTGAGATCTTAGTTTAGAAGCTAAATCAAATCCAAAACCTAGCCAGAGAGTACCAAGACCCCTGCAGCACAGATTCAGTTCCCTTTCATTCCAAGCTCTTTGCTCCTAATTCTCCTCACAAAGGACATCCTGAGCCCTGTTTCACCCCCCTCCCCAAACCAGCACTGCCCAGGGCCTCCAAGGGGGCTGGCACTGTAGCTGCACTGACATGAGAACCCTGAGCAGAAACCAGAGAGTGCCACAGAATTAAAACAAATGCTGATTGCAAACACAGGTCAAAAATGAAGTTTATATCTACTCAATTGTTGATAGAAGGTGTATTTGGGGCAAGAAAACCCCATTCTCCAATCACCAAACTTATGGAAGATTTTCATTTCAAACATCTACTCAGAAGCCATGCAAGGGCCATCTAACATAGTCCCATGTTTGAAATTATATATGAAATAAGACCTTGGGAAAATCTCAACTCAGCTTATCTTTTTCTTTCACCAAGAAAGCAAAAAGTAAACTAGGATCCTCTTTCCTGAAAAGCTACTGGGAAGCCCATTGGTTGAATTTGCACATGTTCACTATCCTGAGGCTGGCACGTGAAACCTGCTCACCCACCCAGTAGTAGATAGTTTGTACTCAACTGTCCTCCAATTGTTTCATGTGTGCAGGCTGTCATCTCTCCTGCACAGAGACCAATACTTCTTTGGCATCCTACCCTGCACTTAAGCATATGGCTGGGCATTTGGTGGACAATACAAATATTTACTATTTTGTCTTAAAATTGTTTTTAGGCAATTTTTAGTTGCTTAGTTTTGTTTTTTCAAAGAATGAATATTAAACTGCCCCCTTACCTTTGTTTGTTTTTTAACTAGAAAATAGAACAGATTCTATTTGACAAATAAAGCAAAGCAAATCCCATCAAGTCCTTTACTGTCTTAATAATAAGGCAGGCTGACTGGCCCTGCTTTTGAAGAGGGAGGATCCCGATTTATTCTTCCCAGCCGTCATTCTGCTCCCTTCCCCTAAATCCCATCAAAGCACAAAATGTGCAATAAATGGCTCATTCTGATGAATCTCCGTAAATTGGAGTGAAAGCCAACTTGGTCATTTCTGCCATTTGATTTATTAGCCCCTTTCTCACTTTTCCTCAGCCACCAAACAAGTCACATTCTGAAGACGACTGGAGATATTCTAGCTCGAGAGCAGACTGTAGACAGAATCCTAACCTCTTCTAAACCAAGGAACAGATTGTTCTCCTTAAAGATAAGGGTTATCTTTCCAGCTAAGGATCTTGGAATCTGCTTTTTTTTTAACCTTGAGGAATTTTACCTTCTAGCAATATGTAAGACTGCTATCTAGGTGCACACACATCTTTGAGCAATGGATACGCACATTAGACTGTTTATACAATAGATGTAACAAAACCACAGACTTTCACAGATAAGCTTTAAAAATTCACTTCAAACATTTACTTTACACTACTGATCTGAATTTTGGAGTCACTGGCACTAATTTAGAATTTCAGTGATCAGATGTGTGATCTGACTCACCTCAAACACAATGCTGCCACTTATCTAAGGGGCAGAAAAAGGAATTTTTTTCTTTGTTTAAGAAGATACAGTATTTTGGTAACTTGAAAAAGCCATAGTTGAAAAACATTCTGTATTATATTTGTAACTCATTCTCGAATGTCACCACACCCCCACTCTTCTTTCTTAGGTGGTAAATAAAATATATTAGAACAGAACTTCCATCTCAAAGTTTCTTACAATTTACATGGAACAAATCTTTAAAAATTAATACTTTGCCTTCAACATTCTGACCTTGTTTTGACTTTTTTTATGGTTTGGACCTCAAGTAAAACTAACTGGGGCTGAGGAACCAAAAAATTTATTTTCTTTACAATGTTAAAGAAGCCAGTGTTCCCTGAAACAAACAAAAACAAGACAGCTCAAATCATTCTTTGAAATTTCCTCATGATAGAAATGTCCTCTAACTTCTTAGGTTGTGGGTTATACAGGTGTACACCCTTCTCAAAACACAATGAACCGTACTCTTACGATCTCTATATTTATATATACCATATGTAAATTATGGCTTAATAAAAAGATTTCCCAAAAAAATCTCTGTAAATCACATTTCAATATCTTCTATCAGTATTCCATCTGAGGCTTGAATTTTTTGTAGGTCAACAAGATCCTAAGGCCAAAACGGAAATACCTTACCCAAAAGCTACTGACACCCTAGCCCCCAGCTCTCCAGAACTTCCATCTATAAAACCTTTCTTCGCACTGGAAGTGCCCCAGATATGAAATTCCACTCACCTCAACTGACTGAGAAGGCATTTTCAGCTTGGTGAGCTTAGCTTTGGCAGGCACTTTTAAGTCAGTTTTTTCAAAGGTCTGTTGCCGGTAATCCTCCGGCAGTGGTTTCAGTTCGGGAGACTCGCTAGGAGCCTGATCTTGACCGTCCATGGGCCGGACATAAGCCGTGGGCTTCTGCTGCATTGCAACGCTTTTAGAGGGGAGGGAAGGTGGGGGGAAAGACTGAGAAGGTGGCTGGGGAGGGGCTACCCCAAGGCTGCAGACTGCCACTAAACTGTCCTGAGGGGTCTCTTTATCTCGGACCTTTAGGGCCAGGTCCTTGGGAGATTTGGCGGGGCAGTAGCCTTTATTGTTATTGCTACTGCTGTGAACCTTGTTGCTTCCTTGTGTCCTGGGAACAGTCTGCTGGCTGGAATGTAGAGGTGACAAAGGGGGCACTGGGGACGGTAAAGAGGAGAGTAGGGGAGAAAGCTCCTTCTCTGGGGCTGAGCCTGTGACCGAAGCACAGTGGTCTCCATCGGTTCTGCGGTCACCGTTTTTGTGATGACTAGAGCTGTACCCCTCCTGACCAAGGCAATCTTGGGTCAGGTGCTGGCTGTCCGGGGCGCCATAGCTTTTCACATGGAGACCTGGGACTGGTTCCATTCTTGGCTGTGCCATCTTTGGATTGTGGCTAATGTTACCAACAGGAAGTGGTCCAGAGGCAGGAGCGCTAACAGGCTGGTGACGGACACTAGTGTTGAAGGAGTGGGGTGGAATGCTGCTCCCCTTCTCAGGAAACAAAGGATATCTCGGCTTTCCTGGCCTATTTTCAGAAGCATCCAAGTGATGAGTGTGGGACTTGGTACTAAGTAACTCCTTTACTTCTTCATAGTTTCCCAACATGTTCTGTATTCGACTGGATAGCTCATCACCTTTTACTGTCTGAGAAAGAGAAAAGGAAAACAGCAAAGTTAGATACTGAGGGGGGAAAAAATCTAAGAAAACCCAACATTTAATAAACCATGTTATATAACACCATTAAAAAAGAAACACCTCAATTTAATGTGTAACAGAATTTAACGTGCAATTTAAACTAAACTCCCTGTTGAGAAGCCTGTCATGGACAAATATTACTACATACAGAAGACTAACATTACAAAAGAAAACCACAAACTTGGGCAATTTTGATTAACAAGGTTCAGAGAATTTTCATATTTTGTTTTCAGTAACAATCTCTAGGATAAATTGTCTTATTTTACAGTTGTGGTCCTTGTTCAAACTCACTTTCAACACACTTAAATATTATGATAAATCAGACTTTCTAGCATACAATAAATACCTTGTAGGGCTCTCCAAAAAGGGGAATCTTTTCAGAAAATGTCTCTTTCTCCTGGTGAGCTTCCTGGTTGCGTCTTTCCTTCTCTCTAATTCGAAGCAGGTTTCTGTCTTCATTGTACAAGCTGTTTCAGATGCCACAAAAGAACAAAAACAATAAAACTTATCAGTATCCACATTTTGCTATGCATATGTCCATGTTTGAGGGAGGCAAGCATAGGTCAAGATGAAGCGATGACAGGGAAGACGATGTAAAGAAAGCATAAATCTCTCTACTCACTCCTGGACTAAAGCTCAGTCAATGGGGCTGTGACCCTCCAGCCTCAGTTCTGGCTCCAGAAACCTAAGCACTCACTCTGGGCGACTGCCTTCGTGGCTCAGGACAGACTCCAAACCGGAGTCTTTTATAGGCAGTGGTGGAACTGAGACAAGATTAATGATATTTTTACTTTCAGCTTGCAAAATATGGAGTAGAGGTGGAAGCTTTTCATCTGAAAGAGTCAGCAGGATGTGAACTTTAAAAAAGCTGTTTTCCTGGATCAGTATTATACATTTTGGAAGATTAAAATCAAAAGGCTCATTTCATAATTAAAAGATTACCAGGCACCCAAAACAGCATTTATTTTATTCTCAGCCTATTCTACTGGGAGTGTCCTGGCACGTAAACTCAAGAAGATCATTTCTATTTCTCATTTCAAATGCCAGAGATGGGAAAATGAAAATTTAGATGTAAGCTCTACCTACTGAGAAGTCTTATAATCTAATTGCCCTACTTAAACCACATAAAAATGGACCCTAAATCATGAGCCCTGGCACCAAAAAGGTTAAAATGTATTCACTAACAAGCAAAACACAGAGATGGAAATCAGAAAGTATGCAGTTTTAGCTAGCATCTAAACCAAAAGTGGGCTTGCCCCATATGTCAGAAACACAAGCTACTCCCCACCAACCCAAACATGAGATATAATAATGAAAATAAGAACAACCTTGGCTCCACAGGCTTGCTTTTAGGTATCTACTGAATCTTTCCCCACATTACTTGAATAAATAAGTAGGAAAATATTCAGTTTTCTCATTGAGACTATTAGTACCTTCAGAAATTCTAGCTGTGATGTTAGACACCCTCCCTGACCCCATATCCTAGCCTCTTGGCTCTCATGATTTTCTCTTATTTCTTCTGACAAGAGCCTACTTACTGGTCCCCCTGCCTCCCTGGCATCTTGTCCCTCTAATTTAGCCTTCTTGTGGAAAGAAATCCGATTGACGGACGTGGTTCTCATGTCACTATCCATATTTTAAAATAATTGTTTGATGGCTCTTTACTGCTGCAAAATAAACTATTATTTTTAATTTTTTATTTATTTATTAATTTTAGAGAGAAAGGGAGAGACATACACAGAAAGAGAAAAACACATTGATTTGTTGTTCCACTTATACATTCACTGGTTGATTCTTGTATGTGCCCTCACGGGAGATCAAACCCACATCCTTGCTGTACTGGGATGACGCTCTAACAACCAACTACCCAGCCAGGGCAGAATAAACTTTAAATCCTTACTTTGACATTAAAATGCCCCCCATACTCTGGTACAGATCCACACTAGAAATTATCCCACTGTCTCCCTGCAAGCCTGCCACATGCACTCCACTTGACAGTACTTCTCAAATATATTCTGTAAAGGTCAGCCTCCTGCTCTAATCTCTATCCCAGAACCCCCGTTTACTGAAAGATCACCGATTCTTCCAGGTCCAGCTTAGCTAGCAAGTATGATTCTCCTGTAAACCACCTCAATATTCCAGTCACACCAGCCTATGCCCTGCTGCTCCTCAGTGACATCCTCAACTTTAATGCTTTCCTTCTACTCACACACATTTCCTTTGCCTCTCTCAACTATACACCCACATTCCCAATTTTCAGCTACCAGCAAATTTCTGCAGTGATTCCAATGTCACCCACACTAAAGGTTTCCTCAAATTCAGAGTATTTTAAAAAAAATATTCACTCTGGCCCTGGCTGGTGTGACTCAGTGGATAGAGTGCTGGCCTATGCACAGAAAGGTCTCAGGTTCGATTCCCAGTCAGGGGCTCGTACCTGGGTTGCAGCTTCAATCCCCACCCCGGTTGGGCACATGTGGGAGGCAACCAATCAATGTCTCTCTCTCTCTCTCCCTCCCTCCCTGCCTTCCACTCTAAAAATCAATGGAAAAACTCTCTGCCTTCCACTCTATCTAAAAATCAATGGAAAAAATATCCTCAGGTGAGAATTAACAAAACAAAACAAAAAAATTCACTCTGAAAGATAATCTAAAGGTGGGAGAGGTTAGGCTACCAGGCCAAATTCACTGTGGCGTGGTAAATAATTATCTGCTTAGACAATTGTATCAAAAATTTGCCTAGCCTTGACCAGTGTGGCTCAGTTGGTCGGAGCTGAGTCCTGCACGCCACGGAGTAGAGGGTTCAATCCCTGATTGGGGCATATACGGAAGTAACTGGCTGATGTTTCTCTCTCACACTGATGTTTCTCTTTCTCTCCCTTCCTCTCTCTACAATCAATTATAAAATAATGTTAAAAAATATATATATATGCCTAGACGATAAATATCTCAATATCAGACTTTAGGAAAACTCTTAAAGTGAACAACTTATGTTAATCAACATAATGAAAAAGTTGAGGAAAAACTAAACCAGACACTGGCTACTGAGAGTAGTTTTTAATAGTCAGAAATCTCACATGCTTCAGACAGACAGATCGCTGGTCCATAACAGCACAATGGACTTGATGACCATTCAAGAATTCCTTATAATTATTTTATAATTTTGGTAATTACTCGTTTGGTCAAAAAAATAACGTGATATTAACATATAACCACGGCAGCCAAGTAGGAGGGCTGATCAGAAAATAACTTTTTTCCTTTAAACTTGCTTTTCAGCCACTTTGTTTGCAGGGAGGGGTGGGGCATGCAACTGTGTCTGAGCAACCTGAACTCCCAAGCTTCTCTTTTCCAAAGCTACCTACCTGTACCTGGACCAGAGAAGGCATCTGCTTTGCTCTTCCCCGATTCTGCTGGTTACAACAGAGGAGTCCCCAGAGCGAGTGTTCACAGCCTTTCGTTCTACTTTATAAAGTAGTTTTTCCCACTGCTGAGGAACTGCTACCTTGTCTCAGAAAAGGGAACCCCAAATGGCAAAATTCTCAGTTCCAGACTGAAAACTGAGCACCTCAACTATGCCACTGCTTGGAGTCCTCACATAATTTTCTTGTCACCTTCACACACATCTTTAAGAAAAGCTACACTGATTTAAAATTCCTAAATTTAAAGTTTCTAAATCACCTAGGTTTAGGTTTTACCACACTTCTAGATATTCATTCTAAAATAATAAAAACTGCTATGGAAATAACGACAAAACATCAATTTTACAAAATTCCTAACACTGTCTTTCTTGCTATGTGATTCAAAAATCATGCCTATCATAGGGAGGAAATCCTTTTAAATTAAGGATTCTAGTTAATTAAGGTTTTACTTCATTAGTTTAAAAAAATTTTTAACCCACTCCAGGATTTTATTGGCAGACACGTAATGAATACTATACAAATTTTAAGACAAGAACTGAAAATCCCAAAAGTAGTCAGGTGAGGAAAGGCAGCATGAGTGTCACTGGCAGGACGAGTTTTATGAGGTCTGGGCTTTGAGAGAAACTCACTCTCACCCACACTGTCTGATGGGCAACTCCCTCACCAGGGCTCCTGGGCAGGGCAGAGGAGGCAGAACAGGACGTCCACAGAGCCCAGGCCTATAGAAGGCAGGCTGTGAGCACTCCTTCGCCTGGGCTGCCTAACTTCTCCTTATAACTAACGGGGTTTGGCCAGTTGTACTGGGTAGTTTTCGGATTTATTTGGCTTTACTTATTTCTAAGTTTGCAATAGCTTAAGACATGGTTTGTTAAAGTGACTAGGCAAGTATGTTCACAAATATTTTCCTTTTCTTGGTTCCATTTTGAAACCAGAGGAAACGTACATTTTAAAAAACATGAACACAATTCATAGCATGAGTAAACCATTGTTCAACCTCTACATGCACATCATTGTTTTTAAAACAAGGTGCAAGCAAGGAGGGGGTGGATGGAAAAATTTTAAATGGGGGATTTTAGGAAGCAGTAAATGTCCTACATGATTCACAGACTCTGTAATTACCTTTGAATAATTACAAGTTGACTATCGCTTCACTTAATTAAAGGCACTTTTTTTCCGGTGTAGAGGAAAAAATTCATTCTAGCGCTCACAGGATAATCTCACCCCAACATCAGCCTTGTCAGGCCCTCTCACTGTTCTACAGAGACCGCAGTGCGTTACAAGTTCTCCATGTGCTGATTTCTACACAGCACTGTGTGTTAGGTAAGAAGGTTATCAACCTTCAGTAAGCGTCAGAATCAGCTACGGGGCTTATTAAAACAGGACTGTAGAGACCCACCCCCAAAGTTTCTGATTCAGTAGATCCGACGTGGGGCCTGAGATCTGCATGTTCAACAAGTGTCTAAGCGATTCTGAGAAGTACAAAAGAGCACACTCTTTCTGGGCAGTATGGGTCACTTTAGGCTTACCAAAACACAACAGCAATGATGACAGCAGCGGCCCGGCCAAGGACTGCCACCACTTAGCATCACTCAGCTGGCCCTGATTTAGGCACATCACAGTGTCCAATTTAATTTTCATGTCTCTGTGAAATGGAGATTATTAACTCCATTTTCCAGGTGGGGGAAAACAAAACAAACAAACAAAAAACCTCAGAAATTAATCTGGAAGTAAATGGCAAATCTAAAAATTCAAAGGCAGGTTTGCCTGGCACCCAAGCTTGTGTTCTCAATCACAGTCTGCAAACACAGCTTTCAGGCTGTGTTAAATAGGATGACAACAAAGAAGGTGTGCTAAGTGCATTAATTTGCAATCACTCATAATTCCTTATGATTCCTTATTCCCAAGAAGGCACACAGCCATAATTCAGGTAGTAGCCTTGCCAGCGGAGCAATCTCAGAGCATAACATATATGGTTAAGTGTATCCACACAGGTCTGTCCTTGCCTAAGGACCTAACAGAGGGCCCTTTGAGAGGGATGGCCCATAGTGTGAA